CTGCTAGACAGTGTTAGATTGTTTAGTTGAATTCAAACACCTTAGTATTTAGATGCCAATAGAATAGTCACCTCTGACAGGACAAAAAAGGAAAAAAGGATACAAAGGAAAGATATATATTTTGTTTATATATTTTGTATTTATATATACAAAATAGGATAAATTTACAGCTACTTTCACTTAATTCAAAGAGAAAAAAGAGGTGTACTAACAGTGTTTGGATAGAATATCCTGTCTGCTTCTTGTACTATGGATAACCACTAAGAAGATAATGTACAGTGTATTGACAATCAAAACTGTCGTGTTAATCAGCTGTGAAACTGTCTCATTCATATTTATTTCTCAATTAAAAAAAACACCTGACTCTGGGCGGGTGATTTGGACCTCTGGGCTCCCCGGCCCACTACCATAATAAATGTTACATTCTAACTCCTTGGTGCAAAGTCTTCCATTTGGATTCATACTGATTTTTGTGCTACAGGGGGTCTGGGAATGTTTTGTTTTGTTTTGTTTTTTGTATTTTAGAGAAGGGCCTACAGGGTGTTCAGGGTCTCACTACTAGATCGGTTTTGTTGTTGTTTTACCGGGGATTGAACTCAGGTCATTGCTTGCCAAGGAAGCACTTATTCCACCGAGCCATCTCCCCGGCCCCTTCACTACTAGATCGGACTCGTAGTGATCCACCTGTTTACAGCCTTTCAAGAACCGGGATTACACCCAGTCTCAATTGCCCTCTCAGCGCGACCCCGGGGGCGGGGGCCAGCAGGGCAGGCCCAGGGATCGAACCCCTGGTCCGCGCTTCTGTTTGCAGGTGCTTCAATCCACTGAGCTATTTGGCCAGCTGTAGATGGATTTGTTAACCATAACTCTTTTAAATGTGCTGCCTACAACTGTAATCCCAGGCGCAAGGAGCATCAAAAGTTTGAGGACATCCTGGAAATTTACCGAGACACGGTCAATAAGTTAAAAAAAATGATAATAATAATGACAACATTATTTTGTGATGTGGTTTAGTGTAAAGCACTTGGTCAAGACGGGAAGACCTTTGTGTTACAAATACATACAGCATTCCTCATCTATGCTATGCGGTTAGGGACTAATACCAAAACTGCACATGCCGGATGGGAAACCGGGAGAGATTACCAAATCAACCACGATTTTTGTTCCTGCCAATCCGCGCAGAGACTTATGGGAAAGGTAGTCTAACAACTGATGCCGACTCAACAACCGGAAATAGCCCTCCGCTCTTTTCCTGCACCTATTTAGTTCCGCCAGTTGCTGACACCTTACCGGACGTTCCGGGTCTAACCCTGTCCTACAGCTACTTTATTGGCCAAGGGGTTGACCGCTAAGGCCCCGACGGTTGGCGGGAGGGCGAGAGACCACCCCGAATACTGAGGCTTCCTTGGTGTGGGGGGATTACGGGAGGTGTGGGTGGCAGGCCCTCCGGTGCGTGGCTGAGGGCCGACCAGAGCTGGGCTGGGCAGCGGCGTGAGCGCGGGGTCCGCGAGTGCCCTGCGGGAGAGGGCCCCTCGGCTGTGCGTCCCTGACCGCTTGCTCACGGGCGGCTGGTGCTCCGGGTGTCCAGAGCGTGGTGGCTGCAGGAGCTGCGAGGGAGACGGCGCGGTGGCGAGGCCCGCGCAGGCGGCGTCTGCAGACCTTCGCGGGGCGGCTCTGCCCCTCAGCGAGCTGCGGCTTCCCGCATCGCTGTGACGTCCCTGCCGCCTGGGAGCCGAGGGGATGACAGCCTGCGACCCTGAAGGCCAGCCGTGAGCTTGATGGATCCTGAACAGCCAGCAGATTAGAAGAGCCGCACTCGGGGTGTGCCTGTGCTGGACCTGCGGGCCAGCAACTTGAGGCGGAGTGGCTCAGGAGGATGCGGGTGGCTCCAGCCAATAGGCTTGTGGCCCGGAGGGAGGGCTGCGCTCCCCCTGAAGAGTTCCAGTGTGGGGCGGGTGAATCCTGCGCCGGCGCGGCTCCCTTGGTCTCCAGTTTGAGTTTTCCTGCACAGACCCGCACGTGCAGCTTCCAGCAGACTTGCGGCGCTTCAACTTTGGACTTGCGCTGTTCTATGGATTCCTTCTTGGACTGAATAGCTACTGGGTTCTGTGGCTCTCTAGCGCTTAGGCGGCCACCACTGTGGACTCCCCCACTTCTGACACTGTAAGCCTACACAGTAAATGTCCTTACGCTGTTACGTAATACTTTCTGTTGATTCTGTTCCTGAAGAGAACCCTGAAACGCAGTCCTAAGGATGCCCCCAGTTTCCCAGAGAAATGATTGTGTGTGTGGATGGAGTCTTGGGATGTGGCAGTTGTTACCTGTGAGCTTCTTAGTGTCTCTTGAGCAAGTGACATTTCTGTTTAGTGCTCTGTGTAGCCTAACAGTATTGCTGTTTGAGTTTAAAGAAGTGTTTCATAAAACCTAGCTTCCAGCGTGAGAGAGTTCTACAAGGGAAATCCTAGGCGTCTTGAAGGTGTGGTGTGGGAAATTCCGTGACCCTGCGCGGACCTTTTGCAGTGCACTCTGCTAGTACCCCTTTCTTCCATTCTCCCTTGTTTCTGGAGTGTTCGATTCTTGAAGTATGAACAGACTTGATGTCTTAGGGCAATGTCTTTATGTTATTGAAAGGATTAGCTAAAGTAGTTCTGCTTTGTTAGAAGATGCAAAATATCTTGACCCGAGATATGTGAATATCAGATGCTTCAGACTTTTTGGTAGTGTTACCCATTTTGCACATTGAAAAGAAGGGTTTGCTTATTTTGAGATAATTTGGGTGACATAGGAGTCAGCTTCACAGGAACATTGTTTTCAGATTTGGTCACCTTTTTTTTTTTTTTTTTTAGGTGGCTCAGTCACCAAGTATCACACCTGACAGGCAACAGTTGAACCACTGAAGTATAATACTCAGCCTAGAATGTTTTAAAATATCCGTGTCCCAGACATACCTGTCCCTTTTGACCCACAGTACTTGCTGTGCATTATGTGACCTGAAAGGTTTGGTAGCAGATGTATTTCCTACTTAATGTTGGTAATCTGCTCTTAAAAGTTAGAAATTTTTCAGGAAAACAGCAGTAGCCTGCTTTACATTTACTTGAAAAGGGAAATTATACTGTTTCATACCAATAAAATGTAAAAAAAAAATTGCATGTTCACATGTAAGGAACAGATTTTTGGTGGATTAATAAGAACCTTACTGTTTTCGTTTTTTTTTTTTTTTGCGGAACCAGGGATTGAACTCAGATCCTTGCATTTGCCAGTCAAGCGCTTATCCTGCTGAGCCATCTCCCCGGCCCCAACTGGTCTGTCTTTAATGTTTATTGTTCTTTAGGTATTTTAAAGGTTGTTTTTGTGTATTTGGCATATTTGGAAACTTTATCCCCACTTCCCAATGTTATAAAATTGAATTCTAAGTCTGTAAGGACTAAACACAGCAGCCTCGGCTATGTAACACATACACAAAAATTTCTTGGTTTAAGAGAAGAAATCATCTCATTTGATTTTTCAGCTGGAGTTACGGGGAAATTCCTGAGCTGGTGATACCTGGGCCGACAGAGGAGCCTTCAGTTGCCTCATCCTTGCCTGAGGGTGGCTGCTTCCACGTGATTTCATGCCCTCAAGTGCTGGTGCTCGCCCTTAGGGAGCCCCATGTCTGGAGTGCAGTGGCCCCCGGTTTCTCATGAGCTGACTGTGTGCAGGATGACAAGTGCCAGTGAGCCAATTCCTTTCAAGCCTAGGTTTGCATCAGGTTCAATGATGTCCTCCTGACGAAATCCAGTCAATGGCAAAGCCCAGGGTCCCCTCCTTGGGGACTGTTAGAGGGTGTGGGTACACGGAGGTGCTTCATGGGGGAAGCAGTGCTGAAACTGCAGAGGTGTACACTAAATACATTGTTCTCTGTGTGAGCTCCTGCTGCTCCAGCGTGTCTGTGAACTCTGTATAGTCCAACCTAGCCTTGAACTTGGAATGTGATCTTCCTGCCTCAGTCTCTCAATTCCATACAAGTGAGACTGTGCCACCCTACCTGGCTTGTGTTGCTCTTTCTTGTGTAAAAGACTATGCTTTTACAAAGGTTGGGGTTTTTTTGTTTGTTTTTTATCTTTTTCAGCTAATATGTGAAGTGTTTTGAAGAGGATGGTCTAAGACCTTAGTTGCCTGTTCTCGCATGACTTTCCCACATTTGTCTTCTCAGCTATCCATCCAGACTAGTCTGTATATTTCCAAGAGGGACAGAACATGAGGAAATCTCTGGTGAGTTGCTTGTTTATTCCTAACCTGTTTTCTATTGTATTTTAACAGCTTTATGGCATCCGTAAATTAAAATGGAATTATATGGGCTGGCCAGATAGCTCAGCGGATTAAAGCCCCTGCTTAGGGAGATGCAGGGACCTGGTTCCATCCCTGGTGGGTGTACCGCACCGTCCCTGCCTTCAGGCATGCTGAGACAGCGATTGAGACTGGCCATGGGAGCACGCGCCTGTAATCCCAGCGCTTGGGAGGCTGAAAACAGTAGGATCAGTACGAGTTTGATCTGTGTAGTGAGACCCTGTAGACCCTGTACTAAATACTTTTTTAAAAATGGAATTATAGAAATGTTTAAAACTCAGCTCGGGCCAGTGAGATGGCTCAGTGGAATGAGCGTTTGCCTGGCAAGTGCAGGGGCCTGAGTTCAATCCCCAGTTCCACAAAAGAAAAAAAAAAAGGCAAGAATAAATTCCCAGAGCCAAAAAAGTAAAAACTAAAATAAAACTCAGCTCTAGGAAAATGATCATAAGTAAGACAGAATTGGCACAAGATAAATACTTGAGAGATGAGTGCTGCATACAGATTTGTCTCTGGCCTTTCTGATGCCATGGTACATGACAGACATTTGGCACCTGATTTGGATGGAACCTTTGAAGAGAGCCTGGTGACTATCTGTCATGGCATGTAATGACTGCACCAAGGGCCAAAATATCACCAGTGGCTGCATAGAGGATGTAGTAAAATGTTTTCAGCACTATTTTAGGAATAAACACTTCTAGGATTTCTTAGTGTAAACAGTTACCTGGCACTAAAGGAAAATTCTCAATCAGGTTTTTCTGGAGTTGCTGGAAAGGCAGCTTTTGCAAGGTGGGAATTGATTCGTGGTGAAGGCTCAGGCGTCTGGAGGATTGAGCTGACCATGGCCATCCAGGGACTGACTGGACCTGTGTCTTAGTGCCCAGCCCGTGCACACATGCAGCACACACCTCAGACTGGACAGAGTGAGGTTTCCTGGCAAATGTTCCCGCCGCTCACTTGCACTTTAACCCACTCAGTGTTGTCTTGGTTCAGTTTTTCATAAGTTCATTAATAATTTGCAAGTGTTCTATTCCTGGGATTTCTTCATTAGTTACTGTGCATCCTTTCTTGTGACGTTTTCTTTGTTTTTTTTCCATAATTTTATTGATAAACAAATAGCAATGAGACAGTTTCAAATCAAATCGGTAGGACAGTTTCAATAATTAACACACTGCATACATTCTTTTATTTATTTATTT